CGATCTCGTTGGCCGGGCCTCTCGTTACTGGATTGACGAAGTTCGGGGTCGGCCAACTGAGAATGACTTCTACAGGCGGGATTCTCATATCGTAGATGGCGTGAACATCATGGAGAACGGGGAGTTGGCCACGACTATTGCTAAGAAGCGGAGGTGTAGGAGAGGTTTGGGGAGTATCTCCTCCTTATTCCTTCCCTATGCGGCGTCCAAGGTGGTCCGAGTACACGCGGGGACGAAGAGGACACTGGACGAGGGGGGATGGGCAAATCGAATGGATGGGCAAAAAGACGTTTTTTTCAGCGGTGGTGACCGTGCTTGAGCCTAATCAACGGATGAAGGCAATGGCAAAGCATAACTCTGCTTGTGACATCAAGATGGTGATGCGAGCCCCGGCCAATATATCCTTTCGGTCTCGATGGTGGCCATCCCATCCCTGGCACGGCACTGCGGGGAGGGGGGGGGGGAGTGGTGCGAGGAGTGAGTGTTGGCGAGACATTCTCAAGGCCGCACTGACGGCTTGAACCGGGGTTCTCATGAGGAACTGGTGGTGTCGTGTCGTGTTGTCTCTCTCAGTGTCCATTGGGTATCCACGGGGCGGTGCTGAAAAGGGAACGATGGATGCTACTCCGTTGATCCCACGGCATCTTGGCCGGTTGCAAGTCTGTGTGAAAGAAGCCGGAAAGGCAGTAGACTTCGGCGCCTTGCTTCTTTGCGTAAGTCATCTTCTGCGGCACCGTCGCATCACTTCTCTAGAGCCGTTATGGGAGAGAACGTCTCCCAGCCCTATTGTTGGTTTTGCAGCTAGGGTGACAAGCCCGTTTCTCCGGCTGAGGAGGCTCAACAGCAGACTAGGCCGTTTGACGCGGCAGACCTAGGCTCAGAGACCGGGGTCATTTGCCGCTAACGCAGCCGAACCAGTTTGAAGCTACTGAGACAGCTTTCACTTCTAGGTGTCAACAGTGTCAGAATCCTTTCATGATCGTCAGCGTCATGCGCCAGGCCTGCGATCATGAGCATGACATATCAAGGGAAGCTGTCAGTTTATTTGACAGAACGGGTTGGCCGCTGACAGCTTCATTCGAGCGGTAAGGTACTTGTTGGTGAGAGCATTCAAACTCAGAAACCGGCCCTGGTCTGAATATCATCATGATGGTGGAGGTGGGCGGCCGGTGGACGTAGCGGAAAGCAGGCTGAAGGTGGGGAAGACAATGTGTTCCTGGATGAGGATCAGAAATGTTTGCATCCAGGATCTGGATTGGCGAGTTGTCTTCGAAGCCGCGCCGCCTTCTCGTTTCTCTTTGGTTACTGTGGTAGAGAACTGTTTGGAGCTTGGCAGGACGCACGGGTTTTGGGTTCGTTATGGCGCATTGACGACCGGGCGAGGGCATGATAAAACCGTACGTGTCAGAGGGTGTTGGACGCCATAGGCCCCAATTCGATTCTCGCCTGTTCGACCTCGACATCCTGGACAGGCCTCTTAATACGGCTAGAGGCAGGTCATCGTGTTTCCAGAGGCTATGCTGCAAGGCCCCCGTGATGCGGCCGCTCTCTGATATGGTAGTCTTGGCCTGTCAGGTTCCGGTCCCTATCACATCGGATCTGGGCGTTCCCATGACTGGTGGCGCCCCAATGCTACCTTGTCTAACGAACAGCGGATGCCAGGGTACGCATGTCATCAAGCGAAGAGGCGGCTTCATATGCAAGAGGATGGAATAGGATGGCGTACTTTGACGTGAAGTCGTTAGCTGGCAAGGAGTTGACAGCAGGTGTTAGTTGGAAGATGCGGCTTCCATTCGGTTCTTGAGCCATGACATGCTGCCCCACACCGCGAATGATCTTAGTCATCAGCCAGACGACACCTCTCAAGTCACACTCAGCAACTCATATCACAAGGCCGATTTCAACAACTCTACTATCCATTGCCTCTGGGTTCGTCAATCTCGCCACACTCAATGAAACGAACCAGTACTGTTATCTGGATGTCGTATTGCTTCTTCTTGCAGCCACCACGCGCAATAGCTGGGTGGCCAGATTGCTATTTCTGAGCCGTATCCGAACCACCCCTCGTACGCTGCTGTTTCAACCGGCACACGATGATTGGGGCCCTGGAAGGTCGGCAGCGAATGATGTCGCGAGCGCACAGCTCGGTCCCGGTGTTCCTGTCATTAGCGGGCAACGGAGAAAAAAGTCTTCAGCCCTCTCTCCCTCCCGCCCGTCGAGAGCAACCCTCCGTGAAGCCAAGTTCCCCGGTCTGGATCATGGCTGGTGAAGATGCGATTGGGCCCTGAGATCAGGCCGGGGCTGTCAACCCCACGTGTGTCCGGCCTGCCATCAGCTGCGCCTCCCGGGGGCTACCCCTTACTTGACCGACTCAATCATAACGACACTTGGCATGGGTTCATTATACCGCCTGGAGTGCTCACCTATTGTGCGCGAAAACGGGTAGATGACGGGTTCTAGACGGCACTGGACTTCTAGAATGCCCAGGCGTCTCGTATGACAGATTGTGAGAAGACATTGTGTTTCTGACGCGATATTCATGCCGCCTAGCGCGTGTTCGTGAAACGTCGGAAGCATGCTGGAGAGGATGACTCTTGGCAAGGCCATCACATCTCAAGTACAGTGTGCTCTATGATATGGCTCGCTCATTCTTGCACTTTACTATGTGCCACCAAAGTGCCATCCGTCTCCCATGTCAGAGGCCACCAGTCCGGTATAGACTCGTCTAATTCATAGAAGCTATCTATCTCTTCAAACGCGTGGTATCGGTTCTTTTGCGCCTCGCTGCATCTATTCGAGTTGAAAATGGTTTCACCGTACTCGAAGAGTTCGAGGTTTAGCTCATGATTGCACAGAACAGCCCGAAAGGGGCGCCGGCATAGCAATAGATAGATGAGGCGAGGGCATATGCCGAAGCTAGCACTAGACGAAAGCTGAGAGAGAAGGCTCCTGTCTGAAGAGCCTGATACGGAGGCGTATGAATCCATTACGGAGCTCGGTGATCGGCTTACACAGCTTTAGATCTGGAAATCGTCTCTTCCATCTGCAAACTCCACGTCAATCCTGCTTCGATGCTGTTCCAATGAATATGGACGCTGCATTACTAGCAGCATTGACCGCTTACCTGCGTAGACGTCAGAAAAGACGGTGAAAGAGGGCTAGGTTGGTCTAACAAGTAGTGAAAGACTTCCTTCTCATGGAGTTCCTTTTTGGTACGGCGCAATCGAATGCGACGATGTCTTACAACAGAGACGAATTAATCATCACTCCGCGAAGACACCACGACGTTGGCAGGATCTGGGAAGGTCCGAGCTGAAGTGGTTCTGGCTAGATGAAGGGATTCTCAATGAGCGCGACGCAAGGAAGTTGAGCACGGCCAACTTCACAGACCGGATTATGCTCCCTTGCCAAGTTTTCTCCCCTCTCATGTTAGGATGCCATCCGGAAACGAAGATCATAAGTCAGGGCAAGTCGACCAAGGCGATCCGTGCTCTGCACGGGATGCTGCATGGACAAGACAATCAAATTTGCAGATTTGTCGATTGGCGACCTTCACTGGGGCTGCGGGTACAGATCATGAATTTGGCATTAGACGAGAAACTGACTAGGACTTATCATATCTCCCGGCCCAGTGGCCTTGGATCCTGTTGAATCGTGATTGTGAAATATCTGAGACGGCGTCGTCTAGCTTTGCTTTTGATGCTCCGGATCGAAGACGCCAGACTCGCGGTCTCGGGACAGCGAAGAGATTGGGGTGCTTTGACAGCAAGGACTTACGTGTGGAACTGGTAATTATTATTCGTTTTTTGGTGAGAAGCTAAACCATCGCAGACTTGATTAGACGAAGGGATGGTGAGTGCCGAGATTAAGGAGATATGATTATTGAGACATTATACAGGGCATGCGTTCTCGGACTTCAGTCTACTTCAGTCTAAACTTGCCATACGATGTGTTTCTCACCAAACAAAACAGAGCAAGCAAGCTTGCTGCCCGGGCATATCGTGAGCCGGAGCGATTGTGAATCATTTTCGTTGACGAGCCGACATTGCGTCCAACCGAGATGTCTGCCACTTTGCTTTGCCGGGGCTAATAAGAGACGGAGCTCAAGTAGCCGTCGATTCGGAAGAAACAGGGTTCGTGAACAGGTTGGCCGAGGTCTTTACCTCACAGAAATCTGGCGGATGCATCGTTGGCTCTTTTGGTGCAACATTGACGCCTCAATCGACAGCCTGTATCAATGCAAGTTCACCGAAGCAGGATAGGTCCGGGGTCGTCAATCTCAAGTCGTTCATGAAGAAACATCTTTGGCTGGTTCTTACTATACAATGACGGGTTGTACATACTAAACTACACACTATCTTTGCTGACTTACGCGGTCAAGGTAGCCGTCATTCTCTGCTGCTATTCACCTGGGAGCTAGCGGGCATCCGATTGGCTTATCAAATGAGAGACTCGGCGACCCTGGGGATGAAAGGAAGAGAACGGTCCGACTGGGCATGAAAACTGTTGAGGGGCGGTCGATGTTGGAGGATGGTCTCAGCCCACGGTAGACGGACGCTCAGGTCACTTGGGCAACTTTGGATGCTGCAGTGAGGTTGAGTGCGGGGCAGCTGCAGGCTCCGGGTCAGACCGGGGGCCGCTGGGGACCCCACCAGAACTGCTGATTGTGTGCTGTCAGCCTGCTGCTGTTGCTGGCATGGGCTCGGCCTGCCAGCGGCGGCACTCTGGCGGCACTCTCGAGGTGGGCAGCTGTGGTACCAGTTGCCCCTACTGCGCAGCCCCTCTGCCCCTCCATGAGACAAGCGCAGCCCACCTTGCACTGGAGCTTTTGACGTGACCCAACCCTGAGGTCTTTTCCATGACTACGAAGCTCTCCGAATCTATCCTGCGTCATTTACACCCAAGACTTTGATCTGATCTTTAACTCCTGACGGAAACTCAGACGTATCCAATCCTACCAAACCTCCCACGTATCACCAAATCACCACCAATTGCCCAACATGGCTCGCAAGTTCTTCGTCGGCGGCAACTTCAAGATGTAAGTTTCGTCCCAATGGCGGGGTCGACGATCTCTGCACCACCCTACCGGAGAGGGGCAGCCTGGAAGCTGCGGCTTCAGCCAAAACATCGTGAGACTAATGACCATCGACCTTGTAGGAACGGATCTGTTTCCGCCATCAAGGAGATTGTCCAGAACCTGAATAACGCTACCCTCGACTCCAACACCGGTACGTGCCATGTCTTTGCAGTCCTGTCCCGCCGTTGAGCTTCTCTGACAGTCTGCAGAGGTCGTCGTCTCCCCTCCTGCCATCTACCTCCAGCTCGTCCGCGACCAGCTCCGCAAGGACGTCGAGGTGGCCGCCCAGAACGTCTTCGACAAGCCCAACGGTGCCTTCACCGGCGAGATCAGCGTCTCCCAGCTCAAGGACAGCAACATCAACTGGGCCATCCTCGGCCACTCTGAGCGCCGCACCATCCTCCGCGAGTCCGACGAGGTCGTTGCCTCCAAGACCAAGTACGCCACTGAGAACGGCGTCGGCGCCATCTGGTGCTGCGGTGAGAGCCTCGAGGAGCGCGAGGCCGGCACCACCGTCGAGGTCGTCAGCAAGCAGCTTGCTGCCCTCAAGGCCGCCATCTCCGACTGGTCTAAGGTTGTCATTGCCTACGAGCCCATCTGGGCCATCGGCACTGGCAAGGTCGCCACCAACGACCAGGCCCAGGAGGTTCACGCCGCCATCCGCGCCTGGCTCAAGAAGGAGGTCAGCGACAAGGTTGCCGACGAGACCCGCATCCTCTACGGCGGCAGTGTCAACGAGAAGAACTGCAAGGACCTCGCCAAGGAGAAGGATATTGACGGTTTCTTGGTCGGCGGTGCCTCCCTGAAGCCTGGCTGTGAGTATTTTCGGTGCACCATCATCATGGACGGACAGCTAACATGGCACAGTCGTCGACATTGTCAACGCCAAGCAGTAAACAAGCCAGATTACAAACTTGATGATGATGACCTAAAATCAGGCCGTGATGGGCCGGGATAGACCTAGGATGACCCCCAAGTGACCATTCGTAGTCGCCAACTCCTAGGGCCGTAGACTTGAATAAAAGAATTATACCCCCCCCCCCCAATCTTCTGAAGGTGGTTAGACCTGGTGAAATGTTTGTGATTCTTGAATTTCGAGTTCTTAAAGGGGTACTCTTTGCCCTCCCTGACGGGTCAATGTATGGTACACGCGGCAAAGAAGCTCCCGCTTTCGTCCTGTACACGCCTAGTTCCTTTCGTAATTTTACACGTTTTTCCAAATTGATACGCTCGTGCCTCTCATATTTATACAGCCATGCCATTTCCGTGGTAAGGACTCCAGACACCTCTGACACTGGGGTTGATACTGTTGACCGGCTTGTTGACCCTCTTCAATTTCTCTCCGTTGGCGTCGCGCAGAAGCTCAGCCTTTTTCAAGATCTCGATTGGCTCCATATTCCGAACGCAAATGGCCTTCTCGCGGCCGTTGATGTAGTGGCCGACAATGATGGGGTGTTTCGACGGACGGGGCGATACGGTGAACTCGACTTGGGGGTTTGCGGCGGCGAACTTTGGAAGCTGAGACTTGATGAAGCCGCTGGGTGACCGTTAGCAATGTTTTCGATAGTCTCCTTCTGAGGGCGGATTGACGTACTTCATTCCCTTGGAGCTGCCGGCCCAGTCGCAGTAGTGAAAGTCCAGCTTCTTGCACTGGAGGATGAAAGAGCCCAGGCCATTCTGTAAGGACGTCAGCAATGGGTTCACAGTGTATTCGTCTTCCGAGGAACTTACACGGCCGGTAGACACCGTCTTCAATGCTCTGATCGTCATGGTATCCTGCTTGGCGCACAGAATCCGGTTCGCAGTCTGGATCACGAGAGGCTCCTTTCCAGGGACGGGGAAATTTCTTAGCGCGAAAATGTAGGATGCAGCCTGAGGTGACAGCTTCCGGAGGTACGTACCTGCCTGCACTCGAAGCTCCCGTCTGTGACCAGGATGGCTCGGCTGAACCGCGGCGATTGGCCAAAGGCAGGCTGCACTACAAACTTTCCCATGCTCGTGTCAATTTCATCCGTCTACTTTACTCTGACGACGCGCCTGCTCCCTTTCCAAATCCCGACATCCCACCAAGCTCCGTCGATGCATCATTAGCTACGGCGCGACGCATCCCATCCGAGTCGACAAACATTTCTTGAATCGGGAATTTGATGAAGAGCAACTACAGCGATGACGGATAAGCTCCCTCCTAACCTGTTGGCGCTCTTCGCGCCGCGCCCTCCTCTACGATGGGTTGCGCCGCCCGACCATGCGCCGGAGGCCCGACGAACCCTCCCCGTCTCTGGACTCGCCGAGTTCCTTCCCGCGCTCCAGCAATACAAGGAGGAGGACGACTACAAGCCGACAGAAAGTTGGCTTCAGATGCGCGACCGCAAGAAGCTTGAGAAGCAGGCAGCTGTTGAGAAGCTCAAAACCGAGGGGCCGAAGGACTGTTAGTTCTGCCAGTATTCATCCATCGAGAGTCTATGCTGATGTTTTCGCGATCTAGTTAAGCCGCACGAGGATCCCAACATTCGTGGCGACGCTTTCAAGACACTCATTGTTGCGCGACTCTCGTACGAGGCAAATGAGCAAGACCTCGAGAGAGAGTTTGGTCGATTCGGCCCAATTGAGCGCGTATGTACTCCCGAATACCTTTCCACACTTCGAATCGAGCTAATGTTTGTACAGATTCGCATCATCACTGACACGCATGCCCATGAGAGACCCAAGAAGAAGAAGAAGCCCCACCGAGGATACGCTTTTGTAGTATTTGAACGAGAGAAAGACATGAGAGGTAATACCGCCGAACCCACCCCCTCCGACAAGACTCGGCTTGTCTGCCAGTCGTTCCCCTTCAGACGTGCGGCCCTCAAGCTTGCCCGCGTTCTGCACTTCACACCGAGATCTGTGGCCCTCAAGCTTGCCCGTCTCAAATCTTGTTTTTCCTTCTTTTTACCCAGTCACGATGCAAAGGTATGATATCGTCAAGGTTTTACTGACATACGCGCCTTGGCGCACTGGTGAGTAGCTGCTCTAGATGCCTGCGATGGTATTCGAATCAAAGACCGACGTATCAAGGTAGACGTCGAGCGGGGCCGCACCGTCAAGGGCTGGGTGCCCCGCCGATTTGGCGGTGGCCTCGGTGGCAGAGGTTACACCAAGGCTCTTCCTGCCCGTCCCATGGGTGGCGGACCTGGTGGCAACTTTGGCGGTGGCTTCCGGGGCGGTTTCCGTGGCGGCTTCGAGGGAGGTCGCGGACGTGGAGGCTTCAGGGGAGGCGGTGGAGGTTTCGGTGGTCGTGGTGGCTTCCGTGGCGGCGGCGACTTCGGCTCCAGGGGTGGTGACCGCGGACCGAACGGATACGGCGCACCCAGAGACGCCCCTTCAGGACCTGGTCGCGGCTTCGGAGGCGATCGTGGTGACCGAGGCGACCGCAGCTTCTCCGGTGGTGGGTATGACCGTGGTGGTGGCCGCTCATATGACGACAGATCCGGTGGCGGTGGCGGCGGCGGCGGCTACCGCGATGGAGGCCGCTTTGGTGATCGGGACCGTGACGGTGGCCGACGGACTGGAAGCAACATGGAACCCATCAGGCCTAGAGGGGAAGGTGGGTATCGCGACCGTGGTGACCGCGGAGACCGAGGCGACAGAGAGGACCGGGACCGCGGCCGAGACAGAGACAGAGATTACGACCGACCTCGTGATGACGACAGTAGAAAACGCGGCTACGAGGGCGGTGGCTACGAGGATCCTCGCAAGTTGCGTCGTTACTGACGAGACACCTAGTGTCTTGCGGTGGGTGACGACTAGCTCGTCTCTTCTTTCCGTCTCTTTTCTTCTTCCCCTTCTCTCTCGAGGGTAAGCAGAAGGTTTCAAGCGCGAATTTCGAGTACCTCCATATTCGGACCAAAGAGAACTCGGACAAAGCTCGGAAGCAAGCTTGGGGCAAGTATACGCAATTACCAGGCAGGCCGGCAGTGTTCACAACAAATCATCACACGAACCACCAACTTCCAAAGAACTGATTCAGCATCTTGTTGAAGGTAAACCTCGCCACGTGCATACACAACCTGCCCAGGCCACGACTGCCGTAACAAGGAACTCCGACAATAGCTCGATGCTGCAGGTAAGGTCAGAGGTAAGGGACTCTGTGCCTACTGACCTGGAGCTTAGTGAAGGAGGATTCGTACAGGGAAACAATCAAAAAGGATGGGGCAAATCCACATGTACCACGTTATAATTACTTGTACCAATAGGTGAGGACTTTTAGTTTCTTACGCAGACAGATCAGACGTCGTATCCGTACTTCAGCTTCCTATCATCCGGCTGCTCGAGTTGTATCCAGTCGTTGCCGAGAGTGCATATCATCGTCCCAGAATTCTTATGTGTTTAAAAGAGGCTGCTTCCTCAATACACGGGAAAGGGAAAAAGGGCCGGCCTAACGAAAGGTTGTCTCGAACTGGGGACCTCTCGAATTCTGAGAGTATTCCATCCGTTAAATAGGTACCTCTGCGCGCGAGCGTGTCATGGCAATTTGGCAGGCACCAAACTTTATATGATGAAAGATGCCCAAAAAAACGAACTACCCACGGCATTTTTCAGAGCCAGCCCGGCCTGCTCCTAGCCAATCTGAATGGAAAGGAACAGTCAAACCGTTCGGCTATCGACTGCAACGGATGACGCTCGTTGGGGAAGCTCTGCACTTTTGCTCTCTAACAAGGTTCGACGTCCATCCACAACTTTTTTGCTTCCATGTCATTTCACCTCCGTCAAGGATGACAGAAGGAAAAGCCTGTTTTTAGTGGAAGAGATTGATGCTTTGACGCATGAATTGTTTTCAAGGAATAATAATCTAGTAGAAACCCCCTTCCGTTAAACGCCGTGAAAATTGTTTTTGTTGGTCCCAACCTTTTGCAATCCATGATGGTATCAAGCCTACATGAGGAAAGCAATCATCAAAGTCTAAAAGCTTTTTTTCATCTTTTTTACGTTTGTTCATAACATTTGGCTCTTAGTCGCTCTCGACCTCGACGCCGTCCATGGCGTTGGGGTTCACTTCGGTTACCTCGCCTGAAGCAGAGCTCCAGTATCTACGTACACATGTCAGTACTCGCAATTCTCGGGGAGCCGGCCTCGAAAGGAAGGCGGGGGAACAAAAGGGAACAAGAAACTTACGCAAGAACCTTGACCTTGAACTCGCTCAAGCAGATCCCAAACAGCTTCAACAGCCTCGTCTGCCGACTGTCGAGCACATCGCCCTCCTTGCAGACGGTGTATCCCTCGCCCTCGCCAGAGTCGTCGCCGCCGAGGCAGACGCGGCCCTTGACCATGCGCGTGGGCATACCCAGGCGTCGGAGCTCGGGCTCGATGCTGTGCTCCATGGGCACGTCGTGCTCGGCGGGCACCTCACCGCCCGTGGCGTAGACCACGCCGGCGGGGATGACGAAGTCGCGGGTGGCGACGGTTCCCGCGCGCGCGAAGTCGACGGGGGAGACGCCGTCAAAGTACTCGAGGATGGAGGCCGGGTCGCGGTTGGTGAAGATGAGGCCGACGGTGCCGGCGAGGAAGGGGGTGAGGCGCTCGATGCCGTCTGCGACGGCGGAGGAGGGGTCTTGGCCTAGGGCCTTGGCCATGAGTTTTGTCTTGCCGAAGAAGAGTCTATTAAGTGGCAGGGCAGGTTAGTTTGGTGGGTTTAGATAGGGGCGGCTCATGTATGAGCCAGTGTATTCTGCCATGGTGCACCACCATAGGTGTGGTATCACGGGTTGAGTAGACTTGGAGAGAAGCTGTAAAAAGAACGGACCTGCAGTCGTTGAGCTCGTGACGGACCTCCTTGAGGTAGTTGTTGCGCATGTTGTTGACGCCAAAGACGAAGCAGTGCTGGTACTGCGGCACCGACTCGCGAATGTTGGAAAAGAGCTTGTCCTTTTGCTCGCGCGTCTTCTTGTTCACCTGGGTCAGGTTGACTACTCTGTTGCGCTTTGACTTGGGCATCTTGGCGGATTGTGCTGGGTTGTCGACTTAAATTAAACAATTGGCAAATATCCCCTTATTCGGCTTTCCTTGATAGTTGCAGGACGGCTCGGCGAGGTACTTCGTCGAATCCGGGAGGGTGGTTGGTGGGAATCGGCGCAAGTCAAGTCGTCGAGGTTTCGCGGTGCACCGTACAATGGGAAATATTTCTGGCCGACCGCCTTTGGCACAAAATTTCCCAAAATTTTGGCGCCCAGGTGCAGGAGGGACCACCGCCGCCGCAACTTTTTTCTTGAACCCCGCAATGCGCTAGGTGGAACGATTATCCGCAGGGTCCCGACAGGGGTCACCATCAGTCACCGAGCTCACCGAGTGTAGATGGAGTGGTCAGTGCACCGGTGAAGGCAGTGTATTAGAGCCAACTCAAATTGCATTGTTCCATGAAAACGCCGGTTTCCTAACCATCCAGCGTCTCTTTCATTCAGTTCATTTATGTATATGGAAAGATCAACCATGCCATCTACTTGACTCACCAGGGTGATCTTACGCCCTGGGTACGAACGAGTCCCGCAATGCCAACTACCTCTCTACGCCAGGTACGTGTAAGTGTTGCCCTCGCGTTCCAAGTAATCCTTGTCAATCAGGCTATGAGGTGTTAGCAACGCTTCGTTCCGCCAACGACACGGAAGTCACTTACTTTTCTATTTCCTTCTTGATTTGCGCCGCATCAACTGCACCTCGGTTCTTGGTCAAGTTGATCACTTCCGCAACCAGCTCGCCGTGGCTCATCTCCTTGCGACTCTTCATGATGCGCACAATGGCTGCCTGTGTTTCGAACCGTCTGTCCTGGGCGATACGCTCGTGTGTCGCCTTGTTCTCTTCCTTGGTCTCCTTGAGCTGAATCTGGTTGATCTTAACTCGGATCTTTGGGTGTATGAATGCCTTGTTAATCGTGAACGTGTCCGTCGGGTTGACGTCCCTCCCCTTGGGACTCTTTGTAAGCACGCGAACCTGGCCGCAGGCGAGAGATTGCAATGTTCGGTTCAGTTCTTCTCCTTGCAGGTTTGTCGAGCGAGCAATCTGTTCGTAGCCGAGAAAGCCCTCGATGCCGACCTCATTGAAGAGAACGAGGATGATGGCTTGGTACGCGCTGACGAGAAGCTCTTTTGTACCCTTGGGGAATTTTGCCTTGACCGTGCAGTGCGCTAGTGCGTGCTTCCAGTTGAGTAGCCGGCCCGTGTGCTTGTTCTTGTAGTACTGGTCGAATCGCTCAATCTGCTTGGCAACATCGTCTGGCAAGTGCACCTTGACGTCGGGATATGTTGGCCAGGCCGCCTGTGACAGGATCATTACCGACAGATCGACAGGGGCTCTATCCACGCCGGTGCCTTCCGACCACTGCTTGTAGGCTTCCATTTCCTCCTTGGCCACCTCGACGTCCTTGAACATCTGCTCCAGGTTGTGAGTAAAGTTCATACCACACTCCTCGCGGAGCTTCCGCAGCATGTTACGCTCGGCATCCTGACTAGCGCTTCTACCCATGAGCAGACGGCGAGCCAAGTCTTTCTTGTAGAACGCTTCGAACGCGTCCTTGCCTTCAATGAAACGGAAGAGCTCCAGGGCCTGGTCCAATTGCCGGTCGAGCTCAGCGTCTTCGTCGCCGGCGCTGGCTATACCGTTCTGCTCTGCCGCAGCTCGGTCGATGTTATCTGACAGAAGTGTTTTCGGCAAAGCCTTGATTCCACCGCGAAGCAGCATGTCGACATACTTTGCGATCATCTCGCCAACCTTGGATGTTCCGGAGCTCCACGTCGTTGCAATGCTGCGATCGTTCATAAAGTCTCCAAAAGCGTTCCTGAGCTCGTTGACAAAGTCTTGGTCGCCGCCATAGGCGTCGCGCACAATGAGGCTTAGTGACCTCTTAAGTTCAAGAAGCCTCTGGACCATGTCGTCGCCGCGCTCCTTGTCAGCAACTATGGCAGCGCCCGTCTTCTTGATATATGTGCTCCAGGGCTGCTTGAGCTTCTTCTGTATATCGGACAGTCGCAACAAATCGTACAGGGCCTTCATGGAGTCTACCTCATGGTCGGAAAGGAGCTTGGAAAGACTCTCACTGTTGAGAAGCTTGTCGGAATACTTATTCACAAGGATACCGTGCGCGGCGTCGAGCAGCTGCTTCTTGGTTGTAGAGTCGAAGTTGTACTCGTTGCAGCGGTAGTCCTCCTTCTTCAGCAGCCTCTCACACGCCGAGATATACTCCTTCAGGCTTGACGCGCTCCTCTCCTCTGCGAAGTCCTCAAAGAATGTCTCTGATAACTCGATGAACCGGGGCTCGAAGTATTTGGTGTAAATGTTGAACACGTGTAGCATCATGACCGAGTCCTTGAGCAATGCCGCTTCGAACCGCTCGTCCCCTGTTCGGTCGTACGAGATCAGGTCGTACATGCCCCGTAACGCCCTGCCACCGGGCGTCTGACCATCTGGGTCGTCGCGAGCCGGGAACGCCATCCTCCTGAACTGTGAAATGGTCAAGTCGTTGATGGAAAGGTAATTCTTATTCTTTAGGAGGTAGGTACGATCAAGGTAAGTGAACGTGGACCGGATCGTCATCTGTGTCGCGCGTTAATGCCAAGCCAGGGCGTAGAAATCACCTCGTAGACTCACAATCTGGCCATTCCAGACCCTCCAGTGCTCGAGGACGCTCTTAAGCATGGCTACATCTGTGCTGCCAGCTCGGGACTTGATTGACCGTAGTACATCTTGGGTGAGGTGCTCCTCGCACTTTCGCCGCAAGGTCTCGT